TTAAGAGCGTTTTGATGAGGAATTTTAAGTATTTTGTAAAATAATCCATCATTTGTCAAAAAAACGTAAAAAATGTTTTGACAAAATCTGAACAAAAGCTCAAACAATTTGACCGGAGGCCTCTACAACCAGCAATGCAAAAATGGCAAGGTCTCCACTGGACGGATAAAACAAGTCGTTCGTGGTGGTGTCAGGAGTTGAATTTTGGCAATTCATTGAAGTGATATTGTTGTTTATAAATTATTTTGAACAAACTTTGAATAAGATTGTTTTTGAGCAACTTTCATCAATTCATTGAAGTGATGTTGTTTTTGAGCAACTTAAAAGAACTGGCAGAAGAAACCACATGAAAATAAGACATGTGACGCCTACGAAACCATATCCAAATGGGAGACAACACGACTGCTTATCAGAACAGAAGGCACGAGTGGGAAAATCACAGAGCAATTGAAAATATCCTCACACACACAAACAACACTTGCTAAAAAACATACAGCACTCATGCTGCTAACTAATATATAAGAATGCCAACAAACATACAAGCTAGCAGATTGATAGACACATTTAAAAATAGAAAGATAGACACATGTAGAGGTACACATGCACATATATGTGCACATACACACGTATGCAGGTTCACATGCATTCGCCTACATACACGCATAAACAAATACTACAAAAAAGCCATAATACACACGCAGTGAAAGAAAGAAAGAGGAAAGAGAGAGAGAGAGAAGAGAGAGAGAGAGAGAGAGAGAGAGAGTAAAAACCACACGTAGTAGAGCACACATCACGCCTCCTATATTTATCAATGTTATGTCTTGAATCCGTTAAAACCAATCATGTAGTTTCAACAACCTTTTGCATTGCATTGGAATGTTCATAACACACATAACACATACATAGCATACATTTATACACTACCATACACACACATAGCATACATATACATACATATTCATTTAGTAAAATACAATACACATGTGCATATATGTATCTATGCACAGGAGAGTCCGGTGAAAATTTTTTTTTTATTTTCTTTATGCAGGACCTTTCAAAATTTGGGAAATCATTCGTAAATTAATAAAATAATTCAAAAAAATCAAATTGAACTATGCTCTAAGTCAGTGTCGGGCAACCAGTGTGCCTCGGCACACTGGTGTGCCGCGAAGAATTCTAGGTGTGCCGCGAACATTTTTGTAGGTATTTAGAACTTTTGGACTTTTGGTTAAATTTAAAAATAATGTTCCAAAAATATTTTTTATAATTTTTATTCAATTTTAATAATTTTTTTCAAAAATTTTCATATAAAAATTGAAATTAAAAAAAAGCAAATTTCATTTTATATAAAACTTATTTTGGTATTATAATTACAACCAATGGGAGGGCAAGTAAATCTAGAAGTGCACTTTTAATGTGCAATTTATAAATTTGTTAAAAGTTAATTTCGGAATATTTTTTTCAAAAACTTAACCTTCATTTACAATCTTTGTCACAGCTGTTTATTAATAGAGACTAAAAGCTACAAAGCTTGTTAAAAAAAGAAAACAAAAAAAATTTATAAATTTATTTGAAAAATTTATTCGAAGTTTTCGTCTAAGTATTGCTGTTCTCACTCACTTTTAACTCAAGGTAACTTTATTTAATTTAAACATATTTTTATTTAATTTAAACATATTTTTATTATATTTGTGTGTTTTCTAAACTCTCTCAAAACTAGATGGAGAGATTTCTAATTAGAGAAGGTGCCAGTGATAAACAAAATCAAAACGAAAATAATGAAGATAAGAAAATATTAAAATCAACTGGAAATAAGAGGAAATACGTTGAAGATTATCTCAAATATGGATTTATACCATCTGTTAATGATCCATCACTGCCGTTTTGCTTAATTTGCCTAAAAACCCTCAGCAACGAAACAATGGTGCCAAGTAAACTACTTCGACATATTGAGACAAATCATCAGGAGCAGATGAACAATCCAATAAGCTACTTTGAAAATATACGATCAAGTTTTCAAAAGCAATCAAAAAAATTCAAGAAATTTATGACCACCTCAGATGAAGCTCAAACAGCTAGTTACATGATAGCTCAACTCATCGCTCGAAAGAAGAAAGCTCACGCGGAAGCAGAGGAAATTATCTTGCCTGCTTTAAAAATTGTGGCAGGATGTATGTTAACGAATGATGCTATGGAGAAGGTTAAGAAAATTCCACTATCATCAAAAACTATTGCGAGAAGAATTGAAGATATGTCAGAAGATATTGAGTTGCAAATAAAACAATCTTTTAATGATTCATCAACAAAATGGGCTATACAGCTTGATGAAACCACAGATATTAGTAATAAAGCTCAATTGCTGGCATTTTTGAGGTTCGTCGATACAGGAAAAATTGTGAATAACTACTTTTTTTGTAAAGAATTAAAACAAAGAACGACTGGTGCGGACATTTTTGAATTAGTTGATGAAAATGTTATGAAGTATAACTTGAGATGGGAAAATTGTGTTAGCGTCTGTACGGATGGAGCTCCAGCTATGAAAGGTTCAAGAAAGGGATTGATAGCACATGTCATAAAAAAAAATCCAAATATCAAATTTGTTCACTGTATGGTTCATAGAGAAATGTTAGTGTCAAAGTCGGTTCCTCCCATCCTTGTCACAACTCTAGATGAAGTTGTCAAAGTAGTCAATTACATCAAATCAAATGCTCTTCGATCGAGAATTTTTTCAACATTTTGTGAAGCAATGGATTCCGATTATACAAATTTATTGTTTCATACTGAAGTCAGATGGTTGTCGAAAGGCAAAGTTTTAAATCGATTTATTTCAATGAAAAATGAAATAATGGCATTCATTGATAACGAAGAGATTAATTTTCCTTTCATGATGAGTGATGTTTGGTGGTTACGAGTTTCATTTTTGGGTGATATTTTCGACAAATTAAACAGCCTTAATTTAAATTTGCAAGGTGCTCAGGAGAACATTATCACTATCTCCACCAAGTTGAAAGCGTTTAAGGAAAAACTCAGCTTATGGAATTTAAACATTACTAAAGAAAACTTTGCATCTTTTCCGATGGTTCAAGAGAATCCATCAAAATCTATTATCAAAAAAGAAGTCGAAGAAACTTTGACATTACTATCCGCTTCTTTTGATAAATATTTTCCTAACTTGGACGTTGAAAAGATGGAATGGGTAGTTAACCCATTTATGCACTGTGAAATTCAACATCTGGAAGAAGAAATGCAAGAAAACTTAATTGATTTAAAAAATGATTTAGTTTTCAAAAGACTATTCACTGAACAGGAGCTATCTGAGTTTTGGTTGTGCTTAAACTCCAAATTTCCTAAACTTAGTAATGCGGCCATCGAATCATTGTTGCCATTTGGAAGTTCCTACCTGTGTGAGCAAGGTTTTTCAACACTCACAGAAATGAAGTCTAAGAAGCGCGAAAGACTTCAAATGATAGATGAGGAGATGCGCGTTTGTCTTTCACAAGTACATCCCCGTATTGATTTGATATGCTCTCAAAAACAATCGCAATGCTCGCATTGACTATGTTAATTTAATATTGAAAATTAATAAAATGTGATATATATGTTTAAATTTTTACTAGTATTTATTGTTGTATTTTAATTACCTACGAGGAAATTTATAGTGAGAAACACAGGTGCGCCGCGAAAAAAGGAAATTAAGCTTAGTGCGCCGCAACTCGAAAGAGGTTGCCCGACACTGCTCTAAGTGTTAAACTTAACCGTCAAAAGTTTGAAAATTTGTCAGTTTAACGATAAATTTTCACTATCCTAATGTGTTTGTTCTCAATTTCAGAATTCTTCGATGCAATACCATCCAAAATGTTAAAAAGTTGTCATGAAGTGCTAAAATGACTTTAAACATAAAATTAGGCTACACTTATAACCTTCGATCAAACTTCTAAATTTTGCGGATATTGCCAATTTTAGGAAATATTTTGCAATTCGTGAGATAAGTTACTATATGCTGGACTGAACAGAAAATACCTATCACAAGCTCATTCAAATGCTTCACAAAATGCTGAACAGGGGAATACATTATATAAAAAATTTATTTCAATGGCAAAAATGATAGCTCTTGGTAAATGAAAAAATAGGAAATCGTTATCACAAAGAAATTGCAGAAGAACACATTTCAATTATAGCAAAACCTGATTCAATTTATTTGGGACAATCAACGCCGAAGCGAGTACTGTAGACGTTGTATTGTAAAAGAAATTTGTAATTCAACAAAAACCTTATTAAAAAGTCACTGCTGGAATTTAGAGAATGTAAATTTAAAGAGCGTTTTGATGAGGAATTTTAAGTATTTTGTAAAATAATCCATCATTTGTCAAAAAAACGTAAAAAATGTTTTGACAAAATCTGAACAAAAGATCAAAAAATTTGACCGGAGGCCTCTACAACCAGCAATGTAAAAATGGCAAGGTCTCCACTGGACGGATAAAACATGTCGTTCGTGGTGGTGTCAGGAGTTGAATGTTGACAATTCATTGAAGTGATATTGTTATTTATAAATTATTTTGAACAAACTTTGAATAAGATTGTTTTTGAGCAACTTAAAAGAATGTTTTTAAATACATTTTTTGATGGCAGAAAAATAGATATTTTGTAAATGAAAAAATAGGAAATCGTTATCATCAAAAAGAAATTGCAAAAGATACATTTCAAAAGAAAATACATTTCAATTTTTGGAAAACCTGATTCAATTTATTTGGGACAATCAACGCCGAAGCGAGTACTGTAGACGTTGTATTGTAAAAGAAATTTGTAATTCAACCAAAACCTTATTAAAAAGTCACTGCTGGAATTTAGAGAATGTAAATTTAAAGAGCGTTTCGATGAGGAATTTTAAGTATTTTGCCAAATAATCCATCATTTGTCCAAAAAAAACGTAAAAAATATTTTGACAAAATCTGAAAAAAAACTCAAAAAATTGGACCAGTGAATTCATTATATATAAAATATTTGTTTTGATGGCAGAAAATATAGCTTTTAGAATTTTAAGTATTTTGCAAAATAATCCATCATTTGTCAAAAAAACGTAAAAAATGTTTTGACAAAATCTGAACAAAAGCTCAAAAAATTTGACCGGAGGTCTCCACACCCAGCAATGCAAAAATGGCAAGGTCTCCACTGGACGGATAAAACAAGTCGTTCGTGGTGTCAGGAGTTGAATGTTGGCAATTCATTGAAGTGATGTTGTTTTTGAGCAATTTAAAAGAATGTTTTTAAATGAAAAAAAACAAAGTTCTGTAAAAACTTGGATTACAATACAAGATTGGTAAAATTGAACCTCCCATCTCTTGAATATCACAAAATCAGAGGCTATCTAATTCAGGTCTATCGAATACTTCATAGTATGGTAGACACTGTGATTTGCCCACATATGTGCAACAGAACTGATGTTAACACCAGAGGTCATCAGCTCAGTCTATGACCGGCTGGCAGAAAAGGATTGTAGAAAATATTTTTTCTCGTATCGAGTGATTAGCCCATGGAATGCGTTACCTAATGACACTCGATATTTTAAAATCATAACTTGATTTCTTTTATGGTGACAAAAAGTATTCAACATCTTAATATTAGTTTGTCGTGTATTCAATTTGGATTATTGATTTTAATTTTCATTTGCATTTGTACATGAAATAATTAATTATAGAAAATTTTTTTTTGAACATTGATATGGCTTTAAACTTACGATCCTTTTTCGTTGATTTTCAATGAAATTCGTTTTAATTTACTTTTTTTGTGTGTCATTTCAGTTTTAGACAGGGGCTTTGCCTAAGCCTTTCTTCTAATAATATTAACAATATACGTATAAACAGAAATTAAACAACCACAAACACATGTAGAGAAACATGTATTAAGCAAAGAGTAAACCCACCGATACATACAGACAAAAATACACACAAATACAAAAAACAAACATACACACACGCACACACACACAAACTTTCACACAAACCTTTTGTGTTCTTTTTCTTACCAACATCATCATCGTCATCGTTATCTTCACCTTCTTCATCCTCATCGTCGTCGTCATGTTTGTTGTTGATGATGATGTTATCAGCCAAGCTATCAGCACAGTGGCGTTTCTTGACTCCACTCTTCTTACTAAGCTTGCTCTGTTCAATTTTCCGTGTGTACAGCGTTAATAATGTCAATAATAATAAAAAATAATATTAAAAACAGCAATTATATTAAACAATTATATCAATTCAATTCAATTCAATTCGTTTATTTTCTCACAAGAGGGGTAAACTAAAAAAGCAACCAAATGCTTATAAGAAAGTCACCCTATCCAAATAAAATCAACATTGATCAACAAAAGTCAAAAATTAAAATAGTTCGACAAAAATCAAGGATTAAACTAGATCGAAATAAATCAAAAGTTATTGAACTGCAGATTCTATTCTATTAATCTTATGAAACAGAGATATAGTTCAAAATGAGTACATAAAATTAAAGTTTTGAATTTAGGATTCTATAGCATTTCAATAAATTAAATGATATGAAACCAAATATAGTTCAAAAGTAAGAGTACATACATACATACATACCTACATACGCACATACATACATACATACATACATACATACATACATACATACATACATACATACAAACATACAAACATACAAACATACAAACATACAAACATACAAACATACAAACATACAAACATACAAACATACAAACATACAAACATACAAACATACAAACATACAAACATACAAACATACAAACATACAAACATACAAACATACAAACATACAAACATACAAACATACAAACATACAAACATACAAACATACAAACATACAAACATACAAACATACAAACATACAAACATACATACATACATACATACATACATACATACATACATACAAAAACAGTTTTATTCAGATCATTGATATTACAAAATTAAACAACAACAACATTAATAATAATAATAAAGTAATAACAAATATCATAGCGATAACAACAATAGTAGAAGATGGCAATATTGATCATAGCTTACAAAAAAAAAAAAACTCATCATCAACTTTCTCAAATTATTATGCTATACTATCATTACCATCCTCATCATCATCATCACCATATCACCACTGTTATCATCATCATCACCGAATTACACTTCTTATTATTAATGCTACGTTACCACATCAGGAAATTTTGTATAATAATATTTTCATCATAGTAAAGTATGTGAAAATATGTTAACAAGATCAATAACAACCACACACACACACACACACACACACAACACACCACACACACACGCACCGGCACACAATTACGCACCTATGCTTTATTGACAATTAACATACTTATAAATTTTTACACGTAATTATTATTATTATTGTTATTGTTATTATTATTATTAAAAAATTTATATCCTAGCGCCCTTTAAAACATCTCAGAGATGCTATTCAGTTTAATTCATGAGTAAAAAGATGAGTTTTCAGTTAGTTGAAGAGTTAATCCAGGCTGACGAACTGTTGGACCAGCGACGGAACACTTCCTGCCTCCTACAACCAATTGTGTTTTTGGTCCCGACAGCAGATCCTGACAATCCGAACAACATAGCTGAGAACTGTGGACAGGTTCAGTCCTATGCAAACACTTTTCACACAGGTATATATATATATATATATATATATATATATATATATATATATATATATGTGTGTGTGTGTGTGTGTGTGTGTGTGTGCGAATGTGTGTGTGTGTGTGTGTGTGCGAGTGCAGAAATACTCTTTTTTCTTAATTTTTGTTTTCGGGTTTTTTTTTTGTTTTCATTAAACATTTTTGATGAAAACAAAATAAAAATAATGAAAATAAAAACAACGCGAGCAATGGTGATAATAAGAATAATAATAATTATAACAATAACAAAAGATGCTAACGTGATGAGTAGATTTTCCTTTATTCACATCACATTCTCCCTCTTCTAGCTCATCATCGTCGTCGTCGTCTTCATCACCATCGTCATTTCCATCATGGTTATGCTTTTTATCACTGGAGGACTGGAGAGAAGTGCTCGTTGTTGACCGACCGTGGAAGTCGGTTGCTGGTTTTGTAGTTGTTGTTGATGATGTTGCAGTTGTTGTTGATGATGCTGTTTTTGTTGCGGAAGTAGTTGCTTTCGGTGTTGATGGTGTTGTCTTTGTTGCAGCAGTTGATGGTGTTTTCTTCGGAGTGGGTGAGGGCTTTGGAGTGGACAGTGGAGTGACTGCCTGACCCACATCCAGGGACTGAATCAAAATGAAAGAATTTGAATGTTTCTGTAAGATTACATGCTTAGAAAAAAATTTAATTGAATAAATGAATGAGTGAATGAATAAATGAATGAATGAATTAATGAATGAATAAATGAATGAATGAACGAATGAATGAATGAATGGGTGAGTGAATGAATGAATGAGCTGATAAAAAGATATAACGAAATAGATAACTAGACCAAGAAACTAAGCAATGCTAGCAACACCGCATCGTATACTATTGGTTGCCAC